CACTCAGGGTGCCTCCAAAGTCCAGGAGGTTGGGATATAGTGACAGGATCCCTGGGTCATAATCCTGGATCACTACCTTTTTGATCTTGTCAAAGCGACTGCTGAGCTCAGTATGCAATCTGCACCCTGGAGGCAATCAGTGCCTCACGATGTAGTGCTGAGGACCTACACAAGCCATGAGTGCTATCTGAAGGCCTGCTCAGTGGATGACGGCAGACAAGTGAGCAATCTCCCAGCTGGGCCCTCTGCCTGCCTGTCTGGGGAACAGGCATCTAACCCAGCTTATTCAGCACTACTTCTGTAGGTTAGGGACAGAGAGGAAGAACTCCACCTCTCTCTCCCCACTGTCTTTCCAGCAGCCCACACCATTGTCTCCAGGTGGTGATGTTCATGGCTGGCCTGGGGTCTTTCATAGTACCCTGCTGGGACATAGCACTTGGGGGTGGGAAATGCTGGTCAAGGTGCAGGTAGCACACTTGAACTTCCAGGCAGGACTGCTGATCCTGATCTAAGGAGGAGTTCCTCAGGTGCAGAGGAGGGACGGGTCAGACACACACAAGCCTGTTTGTAGATTTCGCATAAATTCCTGAGAAAAGGCCCTGTGTTCCAGAAAGTTCTGGGTCTCCTTTGAAAGCACTTCTACTGCCTTCTGATCCCTAGGGAGACTTCCCTTCTACCACATGCCTCCATGCCAAATCATAGGGGATCTAACACAGGGTAGAGGGTTGCTAAGCCCCCAAAGCCTCTGCTGTGATGTGACATCCCTTGGAATAAACAGGCTCAAGCAGCACCATGGCTGGGTGCACCTTGCAAATCCTCACTGACTATATCTCGTGGCTTTCTGGGTTGCCCTCCAGACCAAGAGCCCCAGGACAGGAACCCCGACACTCCCTGGACAGTTCTTTCCTCTGGCTCCTACTTTCCCATCAGTGCCCAGGGCAGGGTACAAGTTTTCAATCTTCCCTGGTCCCTGTCCCTTCGTTGTGATGCTGAACTCATCCCCAGTGCTATGTGGCTCCCTAATTTGGGTCTTCCCTCCAAGACTCCAGCCCAAGGGCCCCCATGACCCCCTACTCCCTCACTTTCAGAGTGTCTCCTTCCCATCCCATGTACCCACCCGCCTGATGCAGTCACACATGACTTTCTTCATATCTTTCAGCCCCACCCTCCCCATCCGGCCAGCACCAAACCAGGCTGCCTGGAACATGACTCATCCTTTCCCCAGCTTTTGGACACTCAGACTAGGGGACAGAGGCAAATGAGAGCTTGGACAGGGACAGGAGCTGGGGGAGAGGGGACCAAGAGAGCTGTGAGACAAGCATCCAGGTGAGAGACTGGGGATGGTGACATGCCTGTTATTAGACATGCCCAATGGTTATGAACACACAGGTCTAATTACATATATAGGATCTGGATTATATAGAAGACTATTATTGCCTGTTGAGTGTATATTAGGAATTAAAGTTTGGGTACCCAGGGCAGAGAATTAGGCCTACAGTATACGTGTTGCCTACAACACATGGGGGGCTGTGGATGTAGGTAAGCAGTGGAACCCATGCTCAGCAGGTTTGAGGTCCTGGGTTCCAGCCCCAGCACCAAAGCCAAGCCCTAGGGTTAATTAGGGGTAGAGCATTGGGTTTCAAATATGTGGCTAAATTTAGGCTCACTTTCACTTCACAGTCCAACCTGGTTCTTCCTTCAGGTGCCCTCTGTTTCCCTGCAGCAGCTAGGCCAAGAGGTTCCCAGACTTTGCTGCCCACTGCAATCACCTGGATTTCTTTAAAAAATACCACTGCCTGAGTGCACCCTCGGATTCCATGAGGAAGGAGTGCCACCTACGCATGGGAAGTTTTCAAAAGTCCCCAGGTGATTCTACTGTGCAGTAAAGCTTGGGAGCCTCTGAGTAAAGCATGACATTCTTTCAGAGCTTTGGCTCAGTCAGCCTGGTGGCTCAGTCAGCCTAAGGCAAGGCTTGTAGTGACACATGACAACCATATGACACTCCACACTAATCATGGAATCTGAGAACCCAGCCTGGGTTCCAGTGGCAGGTCCACAATGGCAGAGTGGGGGACAGTCAGATGGTACTGGAACCAAAACCTGGGAGCTGGGAGGTGCTGGAGAGAGGGGGCTGGTTGGGGGCTGGGATCAGCAGGACAGGGCTGTGTTCTGTCTAGCACAGGGGGATTTACTGTGGCCCTGCGTCTAGGACAAGGATGGTCACTCCAGACCAGAGGTACTGGCCAGCAATTTTGGAGATCCAAAGAGCTCCAAGGTGATGATAAGGGACTCAAGTCCCTTCCGACCTTGGCACTGACTTTTGTGACCTCAGGTCAGTCATTTGACCCCTTTGAGCCCAAGGTGATGATGGCAGGGAGGATGATGGCTAAATGCTTAGAGCCACAATTAGCAAAGCAAAGCTTCTCTATTTCCTGAGCACTTAAGTATTCTGATGCAGAAGAGTGAAGTGGGCCCTCTTCAGGTGCCAATAGCCAAGAGGGGGCTGTGAGTGACCGCTTTCTACATTTCTTAATGAAGGCTCAGACAGATGGAAGAGCTGGCTCAGGATTAACCAGCTAGAGTGGTAATAACCAGGCCTGTCTCATTAGATCAGGACTGTCTCTCCCAAAGGTGATTAGATGGCAAACATTACTGTCTCGGTGAATTCAGAACTTTTCCCAAACCACCCCAAAATGGCTTTGGTACACAAAACACAAAATCACAAGTTCCAGGCCTTTTTCTTACAGGAAAAATCATTACTTCTAGAAAGAACTTTGTGGTGGAAATCTGCCAAAGACTATGAGGTATGAGACCTTGAGAAGTGAGCCAGCAGAAGGGACTGAAAGGGCTGGGGCGGGATTTGGCTGATGGAGACGTGGACAGAGGTGGGTAGACTATGCTTTCCTAATCCCTGTACACCCCAATGCCACCCTGCCCCAGGCCAACCGAGAAGCCTGGAGTTGGATGGGGCCTTGGAGCTGGTTCCCTTTTGTGCCTTCCGCTACCAAATCCCTCCCTTGCTGATGAAATTGGAGATGCCAAGGGCGGGTGTGAAGAGCCAGCTTCTGGGTCAGAGGCTAACCTGAAAAACAGACGTCAGAAACCTGGCTGAAGGTTTGAACCACTCTTGAGGATTAAAATGAGTCGCTTGCCATCAGCTCAAATGCACTCTCTTACTGGGCAGTTGGGTGCCCCCCATAATACTCAGTCTCGGGCCCCAGGCCCTCACCCCCACAGACAGCCACTACCACCCCTATTACAGCTGGGCTCTCCTTCTCCTTTCCCTTCAGGGCCCAGCAATAAAAAAACCTTCCAGCTGTAGCCAGAGGCTGTAAAAGTGCAACCCCACCCACCGCAGCAAGCCCAGCCCCTGGCTTTCACAGCCCTGGGCACAGCCTCAGCCTTGGTACTGGAGAGGTCCCAAAGATGGGCAAGTATCCAGGGTTCCAGGGTAGCCACAGTATTTGGCCAGTGAATAGGGTAGCCTTCCAGACATACAGCCTGGCCTGAGGCTCACCTCTAAGGTCAAAGGGCTTAGAGGGAGAATTTGATTCCTGACTGCTGATGAACTCAGCCACTTTGGGTTTTCCAAGCAGAAAACATCATCGAAAAAATTCCCCTGAAATTCAGGTGGACACAAGGGATGTTCAGGCCCTATCAACTTCCATTTCTCCTCACAAAAACTCATCTTTCCTACCTCCATCTGAGCTACCAATCTAGCTTGGGCCTGAGGAGTAAGTTTTCCCATCTGTGACAGCTCCCCCACCAGCTAAGGCCTATGACAGTGACAACTTGGTGGTCCTGGGAAAGATCAGAAGTGGAGCCTTACCCGCGATTCTACCTTCCACTGGATCTTCTTGATGCCTACTATCCATGGCAATCTCACTGGATTCTTAGCCAACTCCCCAAATTCTACCCCTACGCTCCCAAAGTCCCAGGCCAGCTCCCAATCTCTAGGAGGGAGGAGGGAGAGGTGGTCAGCCCTGGCCCTGGCTTCCACAGCAGCACAGTCATCTAATCCACCCCATTTCTGTGCCCCCTAGAGACAGAGCTACACAGGGCCTTTTTGTTACTAGGGAAGGGGATGGAGGTAGGAGATCAGGAGACTCTCTTTGACACCATTTCCTGCTGCTGGGTCACTGTTAGTCACCCAGTGCCCTTCCAGATACATGTCCTGATGAACACCCAAGCACCTCCACTGTACGTACCCCTTCTGGTCCTCTCCACAACACATTCACACATTGAGTAGAGGCTCATCTCTGAACCCCTACAAGCAATCTGGACCCAAATTTGGGGTTGGCCAGCCCCAGCCAGGCAGGGTAAAGGGTGGCACCTCTTCCAGAATGAAGGGCCTCACTTGGGGGTCTCTCCCCAAGTCCTCCAGCTGTAAGCTTCCAGGCCTTCCAGGCCAAAGAGGAAGAACTTCTCCTTGGCTTGGGAGGGGCACTCTGCTCTTCCCAGGAAAGTGAAATAGGGAGAAGTGGTTCAGGGATCTCAAAGTGTCAGAGCTGGGAGCCCTCAAAGTCACCACATTGCCCTGTACAGTCACCTCATTGTCTGTTGCTCTAGACCACACAGCAACATGGGGAGAACCCAGGATGCCTGATACCTCTCCTGGGATTCTCCTCTCTGGAGCACAGAGAAATTACAGGGAGGAGCTGTTAACAGGAACTTTTGAAGGAGGATCAGCTAGGAGAGCAGGAGGAGGCCGGAGGGACAGAGCTGGCCAAGGCACGAGAAGGGGGGCCCCTACCTAGAGACAAGTGCTGAAAGGCTGGGAAGCTGGTGGAGGAAGCAGCAGCAGTTCACTGAGAATGACCGGGCGGGTCTGGGCGTTGGGGAGCGGGGCAATGGGGTATAGGGAAGAACCTGCCTGACCTTGAACAAGTCTCGTTTCCCTCTTGGCCCAGGTCTTCCCATCTGCAGACTCAGGTGTGCCTGAGCCCCCAAGGGGAGGCTCTGGGCTCGCAGGTCCTACCCAGCGAGCGAGGGGACCTCACCTTCTTGAAGTCGGCAGTGAAGGAGACCAGGGTGCCATCCGGCTTGCGCAGCTCCAGGCTGATGCTGTCGGCGTCGCTGTCCGCCTGTAGGCTTTCCTCGGTCACCTGGCCGTCGGGCAGCCGCACGCGGACCCGTAGCTCGGCGGGAGCGCCCACTCCTGCGCCCACGGAGCGCGGCGACCCCAGCAGCAGCAGTAGCGGCAGCAGTAGCAGCAGCTGCGCGGGCAGCTTCGTGGGGACATCACGGCGACCGGGGGCGGGCATCCCCGGGGGCCGCCGCGGCCCTGGCGCGCCGCGTGGGGGCGGGGAGAGGCGCTGACAAACTTGGCCCCAAGTTAGGGGCTCGCTCGGGGCGCCTGGGACCGCTCTTCCAAGGGACCCTGCGGCGAGATCGCCCGCGACGTGGCGCGGACGCACGTGGACGGCCCTCAGCCGCGCCCGGTGGCTCGAGTCCGAGACGGCGCCCCCGGCCCGCCCCCAGCCCCGCGCCGCGGCTCCCGCGCCCCCGACTCCGGCGCTCGAGACTCGGTTTTGCACTTTTCATTCAATCCCACCCCCCGTCACTTCCTTCAGAAAACAGAAACCACCAGGACCTGCCTTAAAGAGACCGCGCACCTCTCGGCCCTTAAAGGGCCCGCGGCGGCCCGGGGGGAGGGGGCGGGGAGAGGGGACCGCCGCCGGCGGCTTTGTGGGAAAGGGTTCGCTCAGTGTCCCTCCCGCCGCGCCCCGGCTGTGTCAGGAGTTTGCCCTAGCAGCAAATCCCTTCCTCCCAGCAGGGGCGGGACGGGAGACTCTTCCCCCGCCCCTCTTTTTTTTTGGCTTGTTCTTGTGCCACGTGGATGAAATAATCGGGCTTGGATTTTAAGGGGTTTTGTTTGGTCCTTTAGTTTTTCTGACACAGCAAGTTTCTCAAAAGCGTCTGCAAAATCATACCTCATGTCTCACTCCGCCTTTTTCCTGCCCTAGGTCTAGCGTGTAGCAGGGGTTCTTGCCCAGCCTTGACTCAGGTCAGGTGCGAGATAAAGAGAGGCTACAGAGTAGACGAGACCCTCAAAACGCCCATATTTTGTGAATCCCTGTTCAGCTTTCTTTTTCAGTCCAGTCTCCCTCTTCTCCCCAGTTCATGGCCTTTCCTAGGTCCAGCCCACTTCCTCGGAGTCCTTGCTCTTTCCAGGTAACAGATGGAGCTCATCCAAGGAAATGTTAGATTTCAAGTCACTGGAGACACTGGACACTGGCGCTTCACATCAGTAACTCACCCACAAGCCGTGAGAAGATATGCCTGCCCTGCCATGCACCCCACCAGTGAGCTGGTCCGGGGAATCTGGAAATGGCTGCCTCTGCTTAACTGTGTCATTTGGGCATGTTTTAAATATACTTTGCACTTCAGTATCCCCCTGTGAATATTGGGTTGCTGCAGTACTGCCAGCCCCCTGCAAAGCCCAAGGGGGATGTTCAGAACCTATTGTTCCCATATACTCATTTTCACTTGTTTGTGCTAGATCCCCTGTTTTCTCTGGAATATTGATGGCAGCCTTCTTCCCTCCTAGGGTGTCCCCACTCAGTGCCCTGTGGGCTGCCAGAGTCCACCTCTTACTACCAAGGCAGAGCCCTTCCTGTTACATTCTGTTGCCTAAATTTAGGACTGAAGGGGATTTGAGATTATACCTAATTCATGGTTTTCCAAATTTGTCTTACCTCAAGAATCACTTGAATGCTTGCTAAAAACACATTTTTAGGTATTTACACTTATAGACTGAAACCCTAGGGAAAAGAACAGAAAATCAGCATTGTTGACAAGGGCCCATATGATACTTGATTATATCAAGAGTGACAGTTGGCACTTGACAGAAGGTTAAACATAAAGGATCTAAAATGCAGAGCATCTTTCCTGGGAAGCCACCTGGCCCTTTAGCACTTGATCTTCACCTTGGGGAGATGAGGCAGATTGCTAGACAATAACTGGACTGCTCCTCCAGGGACTCCCACCCTGAGCTGACAGTACTGAAGATGAGAGATGCTCAGGGTCTCAAAACTGGCCTCCGTCTGACTGGATGCTAGATGTCAACACTGCCTTAAAGCTAGGTCTTCCCTCCTGAGTCAGCCACACAGTCATCAAGGGCCTCGCCCTTATTTTCTAACTTCCCGTTTCAGGTCCTATCCCACCCACCATCACCAGCTCTGTGCTCAGCCACGTTTCCAGGTCCCTGACCTCCCCTGCCCCAGCACATACCCCAAGAACCCAGAGAAGTAGCCAAAGAACTCTGGATGTCCACTTTCATTTTTAGGTCTCTGAGGCTTTGTCTCCATTCAAACTTTACTTTGGAAAAAAGTGTGGAAGACCTCACCTCTTCCTCAACCTCTTGCCCATAATCAACTTCTTTCTCTACTTCGACCACAGATCAAAACAGATTTTTGTTCATTTTTTTCCTTTTCTTTCTTTCTTCTTGTTTGGTTTTGGGGACTGAACCCATGGGCACTTTACCGCTAAGCTACATCCCCAGTCCTTTTTGTTTTTTATTTTGAGACAGGATCTCACTAAGTTGCTGAGAGCCTTGCTAAGTTACTGAGGCTGGCCTCAAATTGCCATCCTCTTCCCTCAGCCTCCTGAATTGCTGGGATTTGTAGGTGTGTACAACTGTGCCCAGTTGGATTTTTCTTTTAGAATGATAGTGAACAATGAAATCTCCATTCCATGAGTCCCATCTACTTCTGTCACTCTTCCTTCCTTTTAACTTAATGTAAGTCCTCAAAATTCAGATCAGAACTCAAGTTTCTCAGCAAGACTTTCTCAACTACTGACTGATCTATAACTCTAAACCACTCTGCTCTCTCCTGCCTCTGGACTCCAACAATAATAGTAATTATTATAACAGCTACCACTAATTCTCTTATATCCAGGTTCTGTGCCAGATCTTTTACATGGGTCATCTTATTTAATTTTCCTAGCAACCCCCACCTCCCCAAAAGGTTTTATTCTTAGCCTTATTTTAATGACTAAGAAGCCAAAGCTTAGAGAGGTTGAGTAACATACCCAAGGTCACACAGGTAGCAGAACCAGCTGTGTTTGCCAGGGAGTCTGCCTGACCACAAAGCCTTTGCTTTTAACCACAGTAGCTTCTGCCTGTCTGTAACCCTTGCTTTCTTCCAGTCCATTTTGGGCACACATCCTGTGCTATCTTTTCCTGTTATCTAACGGTTTCATGTGTGGCAATCTTGTATCCCCAGTGAGGCTGTTAGTTCAAACAGGCTAGCCCCGTGCTGGGAACACAGAGCGCTTCCCTTAAACCACCCAGGCATAGAAGCATCCATTCATCTTGCATGTAAAGGCCCTCGGAGGGAAAGCTCTAACAAGCCTAATTACCCTGACTACAACCAAACAGCCCTCATTGTCAGAAAGTTCTTTATGTCTAATCTTGAGCCCTCTGCCATGCCATAAACCAATTTCCTTTCCTTTTTCACCACTGGCCCTGGGAGAGCAGTTTCTAGTACTGGTACAGAGCAAGGGCATCAGGATCTCAGGCTTGGAGCTTGGCCAGGCATGAGCTGTGTGATTCCGTGAGCCTCTTTCTTCATCTGTAAAATGGACATGTAAATGCTTTCCTTGCTGGGTTATTTTGAAATTAAATGCAATATTGTGTATCAATCACTCTTCAAAGTGTTCCTCAAGCATGGGCCTGCTTAATAGTAGCTATTATTATTTGATAACTGTTAATTCTTTTTCACTGTCTCAAATACTAAATCCCTGTTTGACTACACATGCCAGTTTTCCCCTCTATGCATAGAAAACCACTTGTTCATAAACAGTTTGTCCTTTATACTTTTTAGGTCTTTCAGTTTTATGCTGTTTGAGATCTCTAAAACTGGGAAGTGGGCAGCAAAACCTGGGGAGGCACTTCCCATTTTCTTTTGGTCTGGGTGTGCCTCCATTTGGTAGAAAGAGAAACCCCGTGCCATCTCACAGCCTGTGACAGGAAAGCAGGTGATGACAGGGCATATAAAAGGGTGAAAGGGAAATCGAATAAATGGCCTCTATGGGCAGATGGGGGCAGCAGGAGAGGCAGCTTGCCTTTGCAACATGGAAAGACTTTTCTTGATGTTTTCCCAGGGTGGCTATTTGCTTTGGGTTACAATCTTCCCTTCCTTACTGGGTCTCTGCAGATAGGGCAGGCAATTTGTGCTTTGAGTCTGAGGGAGAAGGCAGGATAGGGTGGGGAGGTTCATCCTCTATCTCTCAAGGCCCACTACAAAGCTCCAAACACTTCACTGCCTGAGCACATTAGGTTTATGGAATCACATGGCTACACAGTTACATCAGTTGAGGGTGTGATGAGAAACCTGCTGGAGAAACAGTGGAGGAAAGAAGAGTGGAAAGGGAAAAGCAGGCAGGATGGCCACGGGAAGCCCTTCTTCCCAGGCAGAAATCCAGGTGGGGGGACATTTAGATGGAGGGGGGCTGCATCAATAACCTTCAAGAGGGAAAAGGAGACCTGAATGATCTAAACTGCAAGTGAAGGCAGGTCTGAACTCATTGATCCCAGGCCCATGACTCTGGCAGGTCCCAAACCTAATCATCCCCTCTTCCATACTAGTTCTTCCATGCTCCACCTCCTGGATGCTCATTCATTCATTCATTCATTCATTCAGTCAGTCAGTCAGTCAGTCTTGTAGCACAGAGTGAGTCACTGTGCTGGATGCAGCAGACACAACAGTGAATCAAAGCAGGCATAGCTATTCCTTATCCTGCAACAGGACTGCTAGCTGCAAGGGAAACACGCATTTAGAAAAATTATGGCAAAATCAGCCAAGGTCAGTGGTGCAATTCTATAATCCCAGCTACTCGGGAGGCTGAGGCAGGAGGTTTTCAAGTTTGAGGCCAGACTGGGCAACTTATCAAGTTCCTGTCTTAAATTTAAAAATATTTTTATAAAGGGCTGGAGGTGTAGATCAGTGGTAGAGCATCCCTGGGTTAAAAAAAAAGTTATGGCAAAAGTAAAATTATAGTTGCTATAACTGGTACCATGGAGCATAAGAGGGGACTTTAGCTTAGACCAGGAGGCCTTCTTTGAAAGGCTTTGCTGGGTACAGTCTAAACTTTAAAGATAAATCAGGCTACTCTGGAGGCTGAGGCAGGGAGATCACAAGTCCAAGGCTATCCTTGGCAACTTGGAGAGACCCTGAATCAAAATAAAAACTGGAAAGGGCTGCCGGGATAGCTTGGTAGTAGAGTGCTTGCCTAGAATGCACAAAGCTGTGGGTTCAATATTCAGTCATGGAGGGGGGAGGGATGAATCAGAATTGATCAGCAAAGAGAATGTTTCAGGCAAAGGGAACAACCGGTGTACAGGACCTGAGTCTGGTGGACTTGCCAGAAATTTGATCAAGAAGCTGAGAAAGAACAGTTGCTTGAAA